CGTCACACTACAGGGGCCTCCAGCAACATAGCCATTACGCTAACTGCTGGTCCCCCCCCCCCGCCCCATGAACTTTTGAAGACTTCTCGTATATGCCTTCTGAACCATTTGAGAGTTTTCTTGCTCTGACCTCTCCACCTTGAACCCAGAATGTCGCTTTCCTGAGATGTGCTCTCGGTGCAGGTAGGACAATGCTGCCCTCAACCCGTGTTTCTGGTGGAGGGTGACTCTGCTCTGCTCCAGCCTCTCCTGTCTCTGGCTGCGCAGGATCTGGGAGGCCTGACCTCAGGAGGCAGATTTGGAACCCCACGGGCAGAGAAGGGAGAGCGGGTGTTCCACAGCGCTGCAGGGCGAGGGGGCCGTGGATGGGTCAGGTGGCGGGGCTTGAGGCAGTGCCCTGTGCCTTACCCACTTCAAGGTGTGATTGGTTTGGAAGTCACAGTCGTCCAGATCAGAGTGCCTGGTTTTCTTGCAGGTCGTTCTGCGGATTTCCAGCTCGAGCATGTACTTCAGGCCTTTCACTATCTGCGGGGAGCAAAGGGGCAGGGTACTGGCTACTTGGCAAGGGCCGAGGGACCGCGAGCACCTCCAGGAGCAAGGGTGGCTTCTGGACAGCTGGCCAGGCGCCGAGGGAGCAGAGCGAGCCTGTGCAGGGGTGCTCCCTCCCCTTCCTGTCGCTGGGGTCTTCGGGTCTATCCAGGTGGCTGCTTTGTGCCCAGAACTCTGCCAGACTAGCTTTGCGCCGAGATGGCCCTGTCCCCAGGCCAAAGGTGACGTCCTGCCCCCTCCCTGCACCGGCTGGCCCCATGTGGCCGGCACCTGCTGTCGGCACCTGACCCCATCCCTGGCAGCCTGAGTCCCTACTCTCCCTGTCCACCCACACTCAACCTGACCTGGTTCGTTCTCATTGGTGGCCTCGGGAGACAGAAAAATCTCTCAGGTTTTAGTGTCAGCTGTACCAAATGTCAGGTGGACAAAGTTGTCCCTAGCACTGAGGTTAGAAGCCCCCCCCGCCTCTCCACTCGCAGGCCCTTGGGTACTCGGGTCCAGGGCAAGCACCTGGCCTGCTGGGGGAGCAGTGTCTTGCCCAGGGGGGCCCCAGTGAGGCAGGCCTGAGCGCACTGACGTGCCACTCACCAGGCCACCCTGCAGCTTGTGTGTCGACACAGCTGCCCTCAGCTCACCCTGCCAGGAAGAATGGCTGAGGCGCCTCAGTACCACGGCCCAGACTGAGTGTGCATCCTGTGTGAAGGCCATTTGTCTTCAAGCAGGGCTACTTCCTGTCCTTCGAAGCCCTGGCACGTGCTCATCCAGAGCCAGCCTCCCGACCTCACAGGGCTGCCTGGTGACCTGGGCTTAGCAGATGGCAGAGAACACTGGCCACCTCCAGGGGGCCTCTCCCTGCTGTCTGCTGCCCGTCTGTGCCGACCGTGTTCCCAGGACACACGTGAGCGAGGCCTGCTGAGCCCTGGGGATCCCCCCAGGAGCACTCAGTGGGTGAGGCATCACTGAGGCTCTGAAGACTTGAGGCAGGCTGGAGGTGGGGTGGGAGGGAGTGTGGCCTGGCACAGCTGCGGGTGTTGCAGGGATGCGTTGGGGGAGGAAGGGGTGTGGCCTGGCACAGCTGCGGGTGCTGCAGGAATGTGGGGGTAGGGGCAGAAGTCCTCCAGGCTGCATTGCCCGTGAGGGCTGAGGCCAGTGGGGGCTGGGGTCCAGGCGCAGCCCCAGCACGTCTGCCCAGCACCCCTCATGTTCTTGGCCTCTGCTCGGTCCCACTCCTCCAGGGCTCTGGGCTGGGACCTGGTGGCTGTCCAGGAGGAGTGGGCAGGGTCAGGAAATGCTCTTCATGCCTGACTCTGGTGGTTCTGTGGTGCGGCTACAGCAGCCTCCTGCCATGGGTGTACCCTGGTGGCTCTGTGGTGGCTGCGGCAGCTCAGCCTCCCAGGAGTGCCCTAGAAGCACCCAGCCCCTCACCTGCACCAGGGCTCTGAGGACGCGGGCCTCCTTGAACAGGAAGAGGTCGTTGGTGCAGTTGTTGAACCTCTCCGCGCTATGCCTGGCTGCCTGGCGGACCCCGGTGTCATTGGTTTGTATGGTTTTGGGGAATCCTGGTTTCACACCTGCGTTAAGGTCCTGAGAACAGGAGTCTGAGGGGGAAGCAGAGCCAGACAAGAAAATTAGGGTCTGTTGCAGGGCTGTGCTCCCGCCTGAGGCGCACCTTTTCTGTGCCGTGTGCCCGTCCCTCACCGCAACTTCTCACCCCCACAATGCATTTGTTGCGTATCCCTGCGGTCGCTCCGTGTTCAGACCTGGGACCGGGCGCCTGGGTGGTGCAGTAGAGCCATCCTCATCCACATGTGCCTTCGGAACCCAGGCTTATTGCGAATGTGTTAACGAAGACTGGACACACGCCCACTCCCATGTGCGAGACCTCTGGCTAGAGTATAGCCTTCAGGCGTTAAAGAAGTCAGCCTGGGCTTGCCCCTGCCCCTCGCGGCTCAGCCCAGTGGATCATGGGATGGGACCGCCTGGCTCCCCAGAGGAAACAGGGCCCTCCTCTCAACCACCCGCCTCCTCACCCTGCCCAGGCTCCTTCTGCCCACTGGGGGCCCCAGGTTTCTGGGTACAGGTCTTTTCTCCTATGAGTGAATGAGCAGACGGGATCTCAGTCTGACCATGGAGCCTGGCCCAGGGTGGGGAGGCTGGCGACTGGATCCGCTTCCTTTCTGGGCTCTGCATGTACCAAGGTGGCCCTCGTGGGCATGAGCGATAGCAAAGCAGCATGGGGACTCGTCCCAGAGTCGGCTCCAGCATCTGACAAAATGGGAAACCCGGGCACACCCCTGCCTGGCCCCCATGCTCCCTGCTCCCCGCTTCTGGAGATCAGACCTCTCATGGCTCTCAGAGAACCTCAGCCATCCTCTCGTCCAGCTCACTCACAGGTGTCCACCAAGCTCTTCTGAGCCACCGTCATCCTGAGCCCAGGGTCCTGCCCAGGAGCATGAGGGGAGGAGAGCTGGACCTAGTGCGGCCCAGTGTGTGGTCACCAGGTGTGGGCTTCAGATTTCATTATAAAGGAAATCTGAGGCCCAGCAAGTGGCATAGTGGTTAAGGTGCTGGACTCCCATGTGGCCAGCTGCAGTTTGAGTCCCAGACCTGGCTGCTTGAAACACACCATGCGCGTGTACGTGTGTGCCCAAAATCCTGAGTGGAGAATGGAGAGGGATTGTGGCGTGGCCATCCCCCCGGGGTGATTTCTCACCTTCTGTCTCTGCCCCTCCAGTGAGCACACGTACCCTAATAGCCGCTTGGGCTCCACGCAGCAGTGACTGGTGGCCTTTTCTAGTTGTCTGTCTCTCTCGGGAGACTTGGATTTGGATTTCTCATCCATTTTCAATTTGTCTGCAATACTCATGGACTACTTATATATTAAAAGAGTAAAATGTTAAAATTGGCGGTGGGGGGGTGAGGGATTCTAAGTAGAATAGGGGAGGGGGGGCCCATGTAGACTGCCTCCCTTCACTGAAAATCTCAGGTGTCTCCAAGTTACCCCGGTCTGAGCTGAGTGGCCATCAGGCAGGCGCTGGCCCACGCGGTGCTCAACGTGGTGCTCAACGTGGTGCCCCACTGTGGTCACAGATCGGACAAGCAGACCTCGCCTCCTCCACGGCACCAGCCCCCGCTCAGCACCTATGGTGGCACGTGCTGACATGCTGCAGACATGCCACAGCTGCGTGTCGAGGGGTGCTGCTTCCTCCCTGGAGGACTTAGCCCGCTTCCCGCCTGCCCTTCGGGGGCTCTTCAGGTGGGATGCCCATTTCGGGGTCTGAGTGTGTGCTCCTGGGAGGAGGCTGGGTCTAGCAGCAGGAAGTATCTGGTGGTCTGACTAGCAGCAGCGCTAACCAGATAAGCTTCCGGGCCTTGACAAGATCTAGGAGCTGCATGGTGACCCACGGTCACCCCTCCTGCTCACAGAGTTCGGCCAGCTGTCTGGGCTTGGGATGCGCTGCTCTTGGGGAAGACTTAGGTGGCACAGGCTGAGGGCTTTAGAGGGAGCTGCTGCACCAGCTGGCTCCCTGGGCATGAAGAAAACAAAACTAGGGAG